TGGTGACTTCCGTATTCAAACCAGAGAGGGAAGAGAAAACATAAGAAGGAGCCACTCACAAAGCTGAGTGATGGCAACATGTCAGAAGAGGACACAGCAGCAGCAGTGAGGGGGACTTGGTGGAGGCAGTTGTTAATGGCAATTTTACAAACTGGAACAAATTGCCTGCAAGAGCATCCCTGGGACTTTCTGCAGGAGGCATGATTTTTTTGGTTCTGACAAAAACATTTGACTCCTTTTCACTGATTGATACTTTTAATTAATTTACTGTTGGCTCTTTCGTAGCTTTTAGAAGAGCTTCCACTGAGGCTTTAGTTTGGAGTCAGAGGCTCAGCAGGGAAAGAACCCACAAACTTCCTGAATGACGGCTTTGTAACTACCCTTCTCTTGTTCATCTTCTTAGGAGGCCCATTCGGGGAAGTTCCAAGCTTATGACTGGGGCAGTTCAAAGAAGAACATGGAAAAATACCAACAGGTATATTTTGGTGAAACAATGTTATCACCCTTGGACAACACAGAAGCACATAGGAAGAGAACAAGGATGTAGTAGGAGACACATTTTCAGAATACAAGTAGATGAAAGTATTACTACTTTCCAGTTTGGAAGTCAACAGAGAAAGCATGCAAGCACTAATGGCAATAATAAATTTTTAAAAGAAAAGGGAGAGAGAGAGGAAGACCAAAACTTCAATTAAATGATCAATAGCAGTAAGAGGAAGTAAGGGTAGAAAAGATAGAAAATGAATTTTGAAAAAGAAGAGTACCCACTAGACAGTGGGTAAGACCAAAGAGGCATCTTGCCTACTAGTGTGATTGAAACCGTTGCCAATGTATGAGAGCTCAGGGAAACAATATTAGGAAGAGGGCAACTGGAGAGCTAATAGCTACCCCTAGATTCTGGCAGCCAGAGACAAAAGGACTTTGTCCTCAAGCAATCCCTGAGGAACCTCTCCTCCATTCAAGACTCTAATCCCATCCTTGACCTTCCTACCCTTTAGGTCACCACAGCAGCCTATCATTACAAGTTACATGTTTTAATGATGGCTTGCATGAAACGCATCTTCCTTTGGTTTGTCTTGAATTTGCTTGCCCCTGGGAAGTCACTGGATGCCTTCTAGGTTTTGTATTATGAGAAGTAATGAGATAATTACTTCCTGTGCTCTTTCTTCATACCATTTGTGATTGTATAAGCCTGTCTCCTGTTCCTGCTCTGGCCTCTATTTTTCAAACTCAGGAGCCCTAAGCCACTTCCTCTCTTCTCCTACAGAAGCCACTCCATGCTCCTTTTCATCCTTGTCACATGTTGTGTTTTCTAACCAGACCATGTATGTCTTCTAGGGCTGACCAGTACTCCAAAAGGACCAAGGTTGGGGTTTATCCAGAGGCATCCTGACGTTTTCTGTCTTGTTCCAGGTTCCTGCCCTATGAATAACTAGCTGAGAGGGCAAAGGCTCAACAGTAACTCTTTGCCAACTCAGGAGGCATTTTTCCTTTGGTTGTGCTATCAGCTGGGTCATCCCTGCAAGCACAGACAGAAAAGGCAAGCAAGGGTACTTCCTTCCTGTGTGGTTTAGGCACCTCTACTTTGAACAGTGACAGAAGAAAGCCCCAAATGCATGTTTGAATTTTGCTGTGCTTTCCTGGACATTTATTCCTGTACTGCTTCATGTTTTCCAGGCTACCCCTCCTCTCTACAATGTAGAAGAGATGACTGTACCAACTGCAGTATGGACTGGGGGACAAGACTCACTCGCAGATCCCAAGGATGCAGCTGCTTTACTGTCTCAAATTAAGAGGCTCATCTATCACAAGAGGATTCCTGAATGGGCACACCTGGATTTCATCTGGGGATTGGATGCACCTTTGCACATGTACAATGAAATTATTGACCTGATGCAGAAGTATCCTTAACCCACAACCAGCAGCCATACCTGACTCGTTCAGTGACACTTGCTTTCACTGCGTACAAACAAAACCTTCTTTTGCATTAGATGGTTTCTGCTGGAATCAGAGAAAGGGTTCCTCCTGACGCTATGTTCACACCACATGTCACTGCAATGCCTTTGGCATCCTGATGGTGCACTTCAAATTTTCTGGCAATCTTGTGGGTCAATAATCACTTTTTAATTGATACAGCCTAGCTTCTGCAATAACTGCGCTTTGCTACCAGAAGACAGGGTTTTCTTGCAACCTGCTCTCTTCCTTTAGACCCTAACAGTAATGAAAGCACTGACTTTCTCTGGATACGGTCAGTGATCTCAAGACGTTTTCCATTCTTCATATTATTTCTCAGTTTATTGGGCTGGCAGTTATTGGAAGGTGTAGTGTAAGCCAAGACTAATTCTAGCAGTTATGGTATTGATTAATTTTATTATTAGACGAGACAATGACCAGAAAAAACTGAGTTCACCCAGAAAACTTACTCCTGAAAAGAAGATGGTTTGTCTTCATTTGAAACAGGGCTGTTCACTTTTTTCATGAGGAAGAGCAAGGGACACAGGGAGGGTAGACCCAGCAGAAAAGAGTAGCCAGTCTCGTGGTTCAAGCATGCATCTGGAAGATGGGAAACTTGGGTTCAAGACCCGCCCTGAGATAGAGAAATCTTGGCTGACTCAATCTCTGCTGACAACACTTTCAGGATCTGTGTACCTGAACTCTCCAGGGTGGGAGAAAGGACCTGATTTCATCTTGGCAATGACAGCACTGCAATGGGGCACTTTGGTTCAAAGTTACACTCTGAACCCAGCAGGAACCTCACATCTCCTGCTATTTCACATGGAAGCTACAACTGAGCTGTTCTAACCTTTATCATGGCTCTGAGAAGCCTCTTTGGAGTTTAAACACTAAAATGAAAAGTACCCAAACATCACTAGAAAGAATCCATTATCTCCATCCCATGGGTATTTAGAGCACTTTGCCCATTAGTGGGAAGGCCTGCTTTGAAAACAGTGCTGAAGAAACTGTCATCCTATTTAATTTCCTGGGGGAACTCTGGCTCTACCAATCTTGTTTCAAATAGGTAGTTATTGCACAAAGGCACTCGCTTGAAGGGTAGCCCCCATGGTTATTAGGTTACAGCATTATGGGTCACTGTCCCTCCACAATGAAATGCCATTAGCTTCACTGTGAAAAGAAACACAGTGCATTTAGGGGTTTCCTTTCAGCGTGACACCCTCATTCTCCATTTGAATCAAATGTTAACGTGGGCCAGGTCTGGGATGCTAACCAGGGCAGGGTACACTAAGACAGTTCACTGGTGACACTATATGACCAAAGGGTCAGTGTCTCACTCTGCGAAATGATTCATTAGCCGAACAAGTTAACCATGGCTGGTGCCACTTCTGTCCCTTTCCCTTCCAAGACAAACAACAGGCCTGTTTCATCTCCTGAGCCCACTGCTGAAGCCTATCCTGTTTCCTTGTGCTCCACAAATGTAAGTAGAGCTTGATCCAAATAAAACAGCTCTCCTCCAGACAAGAACATTCCTTACACCCAATACAAATTCCTGGGGACAAATACCCTCCAGAGAGTCAGACCTTCAACTAACTCACTGCTTGTAGGGGAAACGCATGAGGACTTGAGACCTACTTTATGAGTTTTCAATACTTATGACAAGAAATTAAATAGCAATATACCTGAAAGAAGCCAGAGCATCCCCTAAATTCGTCTAGGAAAGAGATTGCAGCCGTGCAGCTATCTTGCAACCTGGGAGACCACAGAGGAAGCAGGGTGTTGAATTTTCTGGAAAATCCGTAAAAACAGGTTGGGCAAGCAGCATTGGAAACATCATGGGGACTGCTGATCCCACTTCGGGACATGAGGAGGGACTAGACATCATGTTGCAGAAGCCCTTCTGAGTGATTAATTTATGGTTTCATGAAAGTTATTGTCATTAGAGACATCAGAGCAGCCGAGTTATAATGCTTTTCACTGAGAAATTACCAAATTACCTTTTTCATCATCCCAAACAGTGTTCTCTACTTTGTATGTAAAGCAGAACTGTTACTGTGGCTTCACTGATATCCTGTTCTTATTTCACTCCTTTCCTTCCCCTACCACCCAAAGGCATCACATTATTTGCAACGGTGTTCCCAAGAACACATCCCTTTCATCTGGTGTTCTTCTAAATGCTCCTCAGACCATGATGAAACACAAGTTCTTCTGAAGACACTTATGAGTTAATTGGCTGAAAAGGCTGGTCCTCACGTAGGATGATTCTACTTCGTTTGCAGCCCAGCTGCCTAAGGACACAGAACATGTCCTGCCCCTGGTCATCAAGCCAATTTCAGTGAAGGCTGAGCCCCCAGGCTGACTACAACTAATTCAGCAGTTAGGCAGAGATCTCCAAAGATACTATGTTTTCACAGTTGATGAAAATGGCTTGGGAGAAACAAGAACCCTTGTTTGTTCCCTCACTGGAAGAAAGGTTGTATGATGTGTTCAAGCATTCTTTGGCACCAGAGGGTCCCTACAGAAACCATGTCAACTTTGAGTGGCTCATGTAGAATAAGATGGGTTTCATGAGTTGTGCTGCTCACTGAAAAACAGACTTAGGAGTCTGTGCGTAATGTTAAACTTAAAGTTAACATAAAACAAATGAAAAGCAATAGCAGAGACAGTGTTCTTAAGAGAGTACATTGAGAGAAGCTGGACACTTCCTCCTCTTCATCCTAAAAGATTACATTTGGAGCAGCCCCTCCGTTGGGCAACAGTACAGGTGAAGGTCTACCACAGCCTCAGGGAACTGGAACACCCAGGTCCTAGCTAAACATCCTAACCACTGATTTGTAGGTACTTAAACTCTCCTGCTCCATGGTGCATTCTGGGTTTGTGAATTTAACCAGAAGATCTTTTTCATCACAAAGGTTTCCCTACCTCTGAAACACTGCCAAATCAGCACTTAAACATGCTCTACAATACATGCTGCCAACTCATGACACTCACGGCTGCTACCCTGAAGTGCTCATTGTGTTTTGACTTCCTTTTATCGGCGCAGGTTTCTGCCAGTGAATCAGTCTGCTAGTGGAGACAGACTAGGAACTGCGGCAGAAGGCACAAGCAAGGCAGTCAAAGCAGAGGTAAGTTACTTGTACATATGTGTTCACGGTCTTTTTCTCTGTTGCCTGTCTCCATAAAGATGTGCAGTCTTGCTTTTGTGCAGTTTCTTGTAAGAATAGACAGCTTTTTGCCTCTCTGATCTGTAAGCCTATTGCTATGCACAGAAGTGCTTCTTTGCTCCATTTAGAAGGCAAAGAAGTTTGACCTGCACAAAAGGAAGAAAAAAAGCAACTACTTCATTTTTCTCTACTTGTTTTCTTCAGTCTGAGAACAAGGGAATGAAAGTCCCCATATTGCAACCGTGTGTGTAAACTGGACCTCCTGCTCTTGCAGTGTAATGCACTTGTATGTTTTATTAGTGAGTAAGGCAGCAGATTCTCATATGCATTTAGTCACAGTTGCTTCTCAGGATGGTGTGTGTATGCCTTACAGCTTATATGAAATAAATTTTAGACTGCTTAAAGCACAAGGATAAATGGATGAATTTCTGAAGGGCTTGTATCTTATTTTCACTAAATCTTAAAAATACCTAAAGAACTTTCAAGGGCATTTCTCTCTCTGACCTTTTTTCCTTCTGAGTATGTTCTTTTATGACAGTTTACCATGCCCAATATTTCCTTATGACTTCATCTCACTGATAAAGACAGCTGTTCATGTCTCCTAGCTGTCTTTATTCCTGAAGCTTAAGGCAGCAGTGGCCTGCCAGGGTTGATATTACTTAGCCCGCTGTATCTGATTCAAAAGGCAAATACCTGGAAGTCCATGAGCCATGCCAGCTAAGCCAGGTGATCATGGAGTGCATTGAGAAAAGTTTACCCTAACGAGGAATAATTTAGCCTCTGCATTGCCTCAACTAGTCTTGGTAGTGATTTGAAAACAAACTGAGACGTTAGCAAAACTTCCTCCCAGATGAGACTCCCTGTGCAGGGAGAGAGAGGCATATTTTACTCCTGTTAGAACAAAGTAAAACAGCAGAAAATAAAAAAGAGTGTTGTGCTGACTGAGTAGGTAGTTGTGAGGCTTCCTGTTTTGGCATCGAAAATTAAGAAGTATTTGATACACAAAGGGAGTCGAAGTGTGTTTTGATGCCAAGTTTAAAGTTTTGGGTGTTTCCAAATGCTGCTTCATTCCAACTGTCCAATGACTCATGAGGTTTGACTTCTTTAAATTTGTTCAGTCAAATTTAAAGGTTAAATTGAAGATCAGAAAAATTCAAAACTCCTTCTCCTATAAGGAGATTCAGAGAGTGCAAAAATCTCTTGGTTACCCCTCCCTCACTCCCACAAATCCTGCTCATCTTCCCTATTACTTGCCAAGGAATACTCTCTTATTTTCTCTTGATCTGTAGGTCCATTTCCAAGTCCAAATAAACTTCATAGAGCAGCATGTCTCGTCATAGCAGACGTCTTATGCTGCAGAATTCAGAAACGTGTGGCTGCATGAGAACCTCTGTTCTTCATTAAAAATTGGGTTCTCCATGTCTATTGGACCTAGCAATGCCTGGTTTCAGAAAGACTTGTTTCCTGAGTCTGCTTATCTTCCTAATGCTAACTATAACACAGGCAGCTCTCCTGCAAAATTCTCTCACAAACCCTGATGCCCAGCCCTGCGTGCTGTGGCTGCTTTGAAGCTACACGGACACTGGCTAGTTCACTCTTGCTGACTGCTCAGCTGGTTGCAGAACATACAACAGCTGCCTTTGCCCTGCCTTCGCCCCAGCAAGGCACTAACCCCTCTGAATAATCCTTCCCCAGCAAACAGTTCTCAGGAGCTCCTGCGAACCCCATTACCTTACAGGCTTGTATCTCAGTGCTGAGCTTGGCAGATATTTACCAATGACATCAAAAGTTAATTACAGGATGGACAGAAAGGTGGACTAACATAAACACACCATGGTCATAGAAGCATGCCTTCTTCTTCTGAGGAACCAAGCCTACAAGAGCAGTAATGTCGCCAGTCATTACTGGTGAGGCAATCTGACAAGGCGCCTTGATGAGCTGAAGCCTTACATTGCATTACGTGTCCCTTTTGTTCCACGGGTTCTATTGTTGAACATTTAAGTAGCCTGCCTGATTTTTATGGTCTTTATCTACATGCAGTACGGCTGCTACTTTTCTCTTCACAGCCCTCATTCTCTCCTCACACATGCGGACACAGCATACAACAACAATTAGATGTATGAGGGCTTTTCCAGAATGTGTAAGCACGGTCCTGAGCTTCATGTATGAATCCTTTTTGTACTGTTCTTCAGATTGGAAAGAAAAATCCTATCCTACCTACTTGCAGCTCTGTGGTAGGCAAGGAGCACTGAAGATGTCAGCACTTCTCTTGCTCTGCAAACAGTTTTAACTCACAGTCCCACACCCAGTAACTTTCTGGGACACAGAACCTGCTCTTCCCTTTTCTAGGGAGCATTTGAGTCAAAATTTGCATGTTGAAAAAAAGGTCTGGGAAGCTCACAGAGAACAGTGTTCCTATACTCATTGACTGGGTTCTGGAAAATTAAGACTAAAACCTGGAAGCATATCTACTGTAGGTGGAGTTGGAATAAACTGGTGCTAGATAGGCTGCACTCTGCAATTTCTATTCAGAAAAGCTAATCTGGTACCATCAGTCAACCAGGAAAGGGCAAGGTCTCACCTCCCCATGACCAAGACAAGATTTGCAACATGGACAGCCATTTCTAAGAGATAAAGGAGACAGGCCCTTGGCAACATGAAGGCAGTCTCAGATCCATTGTTCACTGCTCTAAAACCAAATCATTTCGTGGTTTCTCAGCTGGTGGCAGCCATCGATTTTGAAAGACAGAAACTTTGGGCTCAGAAGTAGCAGTAGGAAAAATGCAATTATCTGGGGATAGCAGAGCACTCTTGGAAGAAGTGGGCAGAAGGGGCTGGTGAAGAAACCCAATGGGATGGCAAATGGAGACCCAGATGACTCAGTTTCAGTCTGAAAGGCAAAGCTGGCTGGGAACTGACTCATGGGGCTCCTGGGGAGCCACACATGGTCACCTTGTTTGCTTCATATTCTCAGAGGAACTAATTTCAAACAGAACTTGAACCTGGTCTGGGGCACATCACCCCATGGTGAAAGCACAAGCTGGCACTGATCTGGTGCAAGCATGTTCCCCTAAGACTGTTACGTCTCTTCCCAGAGTCCCTGAACCACTCCTGGCCCCTGCACAACCCTTCATTGACTGATCTCTCACCGCAGCACCACTGACCAGCACCAAGGATGGCATTTGATCCCAAAGGAGGAGAGGACAGGTGGAAAGAGAACCCATCCCAAACCTCTCTCACCTCACTCCTGAGGAGACAGGAAACAAGCAGTGCTTTCTTCTTTCACCTCTCTTGCTGACAGAGAAGTAGAGGCAGATAAAGGCAGACAAGCTGGGTGATGGTCATCTCAGGTATTCATGCTTCTTTGTCAAGCTTCTGCTAGACTCATGCCAGGAGCTGGCCCTGTCTACCAACGACACCTCTCTTGTCATCTGCAGAGTGCTCAGGCATATTCTCACCTGGTATCCCCAAGTGTTTTGCTCTCCTGTTCTGCAACCCTCCCTGTTACACAGCATGAGCTGTGGACAGTCCCTCCTCACACAGGTACTTATTCTGGCAGCCCCCTGAGGAACAGACCTTGCGCAACCTTCAGGAGACTCCCCACTTGGGTCTTCATGTGGAATTCCACTGCACTCTCTTCCTACAGCAAACACCCCTGCATGTGCTCTTTCACACAGCCCCAAGATGTGGTGCTTCCTCGTGCTGCTCTGCTCCCAAGGAATTGCCTTTTCAGCTTCAACACCCTCCGCTCTGAATTCAGACAAAAGCCAGTACAGGAAGACTCGCAACCCCGAATGCTTTATGAACGTTGTAAGTTGCGTCACTTTCTCTCCCTTTCTTCCTAAATTGTCTCTCCCAGTACCACTACCACCGCCCCATCGCTATCAGTCCCTGTCAGGAGGCTAAAAGTAGGACCCCTTCAAAGGGGTCCCTCCAGCATTGTGGTAGGGAGCACCGGCCTAGAAGAAACCTTGATGCTCCTATCCAAAAAGTCTGAGCTGCCAGAGAGAAGAGTTCCCTTGCGGTGGAGGCAAAGCCTGGTTTCTAGTCTCAAGGGAAGCAAAGCCCTCCCCTTCTGTAACAACCTGCTTGCTCAGGAGAGTGGCAAGGCAGGTTGAATCCCTTCTTCAAACTGCAGATCCTCACAACACAAAGTAATCCAAGACCCCTTGCTCTGAATCACCAAAGATTTCCTCACAATAGTGGCAAGAATGTAATAGGTGGTGCTCTGCGTGAGTCTGTAATAGGAGACCCACCCTCCCTGGCTTGCCTAGCCACGCTTTGGCGAGAAACGATTCATTATGGCCCAAACCCCACATCTTTTGGCACTGTCTTATACAGATACTGCCGCATGCTTACTCTCCAGAAAGGTATGAGCTGCATCAGCCTTGCACAGCAGGGCAAGCTACCTCCCAAAGGTTAGTCGCTCAGTACAGGTCTGCCTTGTCCCATAATATGGGGTCAAATACCAGACAACTACCCCCTAAGCAGGTCTGAAGAAGACTTGTGATGCATCTTTTTACAAGACCTGTAATATTTTTTCCCAGCCATGGTCCCTGTGGCCAGGGGCCTTGCACTACCACCACAGAACAGCCTACATCCACACTGCTCGGCTTGGTTACCCTCCAAAGCAGGACGGCTTCATCCGAGCTGTTTAACAGCATCATCCCCAAAGTCTAAAAGAACAAAGATGCATCCAGGAAAAGTGGTGGAGAGCACTGGGATGCTCGGGGAAAAGCTACTCCCGGGACAGTCCCAACACATGACAGCACATGCAACCAAGCTGCAGGGCCCAGGAACAGTCTCATTTACTGCACAGGTGAACTCTGTCATCCTGCCACTCTCACAAGCCTGTGTAGTGCTTGGGTACCACTGCTACAGCAATTACTACCTAGCCAAAACCTAAGCAACGTGGGCTATGTCTGGAAAGCTCCAAGTATAACGAGGTGCTTCTACCTGAGCAAACGCAGCTCTTGGTATTTCAATTTGAGAGGTACAGCGTTAAAGAGCATACACAAACCACGTCGCACAAACACAGCTCAACCGCTCTCACTGCCGTTTGCATCCTCCAGCCTCCGTGGCTATGGTATAGCATAGATCTGATCATCCCCAAAAGACAGAGGCATGGGTTGTGCTGTCCTGCAGGAATCCCTTTTGGGTCCCTTCCTACCAGTACAACACAGAGCAGTAGAGAAAAAGCCAGCGATATGTCATCACACGCATCTTCCTGGCATGTTCTTGGCTAGTTTCACATTCCTGGCCAGAAGCAGCCTCTAGACACCTTCTCCACTCATCTCTACACTGTAAGTGCATGTTAACAAGCTCTCCTTTGGCTTCCCACAGAGTGAAATTATCAGATATCATGGATACCCCAGCGAGGAATATCAAGTTACTACGGAGGATGGATACATTCTTGGTGTCTTCAGAATTCCCGCTGGGAGGAACAGCCAAAATACAGGTGTGACACAGTTACAGGACATAAGGAAGGTCTGAGAGCCTACTCTTACATGGGTCCCCCATCTTTCCCCTTTGCACATGCAATGGCACGTTCCATACCTTTCCATCTCAGCAAGAGCACCTAGTCAGGAATGTGGCCTGAATTCCAAGAGCACCTAGTCAGGAATGTGGCCTGAATTCTGAATCCATCTAAAGTCCACACATTCAATATCTCTGTCCTTATTTCAGACTTTTCTAATAATTTTGTCATATCCCAGTTTTTTTCCCTCATGTGGGTTGGGGGACAGTTTGGTAATATGGATTTGGGGAAGTTTTGCATTAACACCCTAAGTAATTTACATTTAAAACAGAAGCTTGACAACAAAGCCTCTCAGGTTAGGCATATGAATATTAATTCCCAGTCTTCTGAAGGACAGAGGTATTCTTAAGGAAGGTGATAAGAAATCAGGTCATCAATGAAAAGCAAATGCATTTCATCTGTTTCATCACATTTTTTGAATGGAATAAAAATTTCTACCTGGAATTTGAGGTACCCTGGATACTGCTACTTTGTTTATTACTCCTTGTGAGAATTATAGAATAATTTATTTTGAATGCCTCCACCTGTTTGGATCTCCTCCTTTGGAGGTTGTCTGGACCAGCCTTACTCTCAAAATAAGGTTAACCAAAGTTAGATCAGGGGCCTCTCAGCCCTGCTCAGTTGGTTACTGAATAGACCTAAGGGTAGATATGCTTCTTTGGATGAATTATTCTTTGCCTTCCATACACTACTATGCCTTCAGAAGTTTTCAGCTGTGTGTAGATGATTTCAATATAGGGACCTGTAAGTTGGCTGTCCAGTGCAAGAGGAGATGGGGACAGGCCTCCTCATTAAATTCTTTATTTGCCAGTCCTGTCATGAAATGGTCATGAAATGTCATGAAACGGTTCCTGCTTGCATGGAACAAACCCTTCAGGTTTCTCAGACCAATATCTATGCATAGTTCTCCTGGGAGCTTCTTGAAGAAGGAAGGATTTAAAACCTCTCACAAACTAAACTCTGCACCCCTATGTTAAATACACATTAACTACTGCTCCAACATAAGAATACTTTTATCTTTTCCAGGGCAAAAACCTGTAGTCTTCCTACAGCATGCTTTTCTAGGAGATGCTACCCACTGGATTTCTAACCTGCCCAACAACAGTTTGGGCTTCCTCCTCGCAGATGCTGGCTATGACGTCTGGATGGGAAACAGCCGAGGGAACACTTGGTCTTTAAAACACAAGACCCTTAAGCCCAGCCAGAAAGCATTCTGGCAGTTCAGGTACTCTGTAGACGGAGAATTACCCAAGACAGAAATTCCAAGGGGACTAGATAGCTTCAGCCTGATGGTTTTTACCTAAACCAGCATCAGAACAGGGTCTACACCAACCAAGGAGAGTAAAGAACCAGATGAAGAAGGATGCTTGCTACTACTCAGAGTTGGGAGCATTGGCTCCCAATGGGGAAGAGATTTTGGACACTGGGAAATGAAATGGGATGCTGAGGAAAAGGGAGACAGTACTGTGAGAGGGAGAGCAAGAACCTCAGCTGGAACAGGCTGAGCAGCCTTGTGTAGAAATCTCTGATCTCTCACAGTTGAATTCAACAGAGAGAGAGATGTGTTTTGTAACCCATGCTAGTGAAAGCACTGATTAAATTCAGGTCCCCAAGGGCTGCAGCTGACAGGCGAAACTGGCACCTCCTCCGCAGAGAGCCCAAGGCACCAGGCAGCCTGGCAGTACAGCTGTGTCTCTCTACCCCCTTCCCCAACTCAAGCAAGAACACAGACAAAGTGTGCAACCTCATCTTTCAATGGGTCCTGCTTGGTGCAACGAACAAAACTGACGTTCAGTAACTTACACTGTGATAGCTGAATTGTCTGCTAGCTTTTTGTGTTTCTCCCCTGTAGCTTTGATGAAATGGGTAAATACGATATTCCAGCAGAGCTGTACTTCATCATGAATAAAACTGGGCAGAAGGATGTATACTATGTTGGTCACTCTGAAGGCACAACAACAGGTAATGTCAGGACAGTCACGGTTCACAACCATTCGTGTTCCTATCTGATCAGTAGGTGGGTCTCCCCATTGATTCAGTTGTTTTTCTTGTTTGTGGAGAGCTAGCGAACATAGAACTGCCTTCAGAGTTGAGATTTGGAAAATATGGAAAATTTTTCTAAAAACAGTTTTGGCTACCCTTAATAAACAAAGAAACCTAATAGCAGATCCAAATATGGTTCACCTTCTTAAATAATTAGAGACATAAAAGGGGTTATTTACTGGGTACTTCAGGTACTGGCACTGGGTATTTTTCTTAAATTCTCAGCAACAGAATTTTCATTAAGTAAATCTTTTGTATTAAGACATACAATTATTTTCCTTGTGAACAGGAAGGAAAAACTGAAAAGATAAAACAGCACATATAATACATAATTTCAAATAACAGAAGACAAGGAAAAAGAACCTCAACGTTACTAAGTCATGTGACTTAATGACAATCTTACAATGCAAAGCATAGTTCATGAGTGGCCATAACTGGCTGCATTACTGTTTAAAAACATAATGCCAGAGACTGAAAAATAGGAAAGGAAAAACATTAATAACTTATTTTCTCTTAGTGCCAGCCTTTAGCATTAACTCACTTCATGGCCTCTGAGTGCAACTAACTTTCTTTTAGCATCAGCTGAAAGTTCCTGATGTTTATGTTTTATGTGTAAGATCCATGAATGGACATTAATTAGAAATGAGCAACTGCCAGTTCATTAGTGTAAACGACCCAGAAAAAAAGAGAAGGAAATGTGGGAATATCATATATTGTCACAGCTCCAGACCTTTTCTTTCTTTTCCTCTCATAAGAGTATTTAAAGACCCTCATGGCAAAACAAACTTACCATCTAGGCTTTCTTCAGCTGCCTTTGATGCAAACAATCAGTTGAAAACACTCAAAGCTCCCAGTATTCAGCTAATTATTCTACAGCTTCATGGAAGCATAAACATACATAGACCTTTAGAGACTATAATCTGAAAAACTCATTTTTATGAGAGTTTTTTGAACTTTAGAGGGAATTGATTTTATCACGAAAACCTCATTGACATGTTGCCTACAAAAACTCTTCTGATAAAGGCAATGTCCAGACATGCTCTTAACCTCAGAAGGAACTTTGCCTCCCAAATAAAATTCATTTCAGGTCTTAGCTTCAACACTTGCCTTAGGTAAAACATGCAGCACAGACAAACATGGACAACAGATAATGGGCTGCAAATCTAGTATCACTTCTTGTTTGCTACCTACTGCTTATTTATTTATTTTGTCTGTGGAAGATGTCTTCACTAACTCAGCCTGTCTCTCCTGTGTTTGCAGGCTTCATAGCATTTTCTACATACCCTGAGCTGGCTAAACGGGTGAAAATGTTCTGTGCTCTGGGCCCAGTAACCACATGCTCACGTGCTGCAAGCCCTCTGATTAAGATAGCAAATGTTCCTGAAGCACTGCTCAGGGTATGTCATTCTTCCTTCTAAGAGGCCCAATGCCTGATTTACCTTCACAGGGTTCACTCAACCTGAGACGAAATGTTCCCAAACAGGTGACATGCTGGTACGGAGTTTGGGATGAATCAAGTGCTCTTGAAAAATCTGTTTCCAAACTCTGTGGGGAAAATACTGGAGATATAGGGCTTGTAGCAGCAGGTCCCAGCAAAGTAGGAGACTTGTGAAGCTCTGTATCGTCATGGACTCTTGCTGTTAACTAATGTTTTGCTGGCCTCATGCAGGAGGAACTAAACCAGAGCTGCAATAACAGCCATGACAATCTCTGGGACTTCAGAAATGAGTGAGCATTGAGGTCACTACATTAGAAATGGAAGGATGGCTTCCTCCAGGACTGATGCCAGTAATATGAAGAAGGAAGGATATGTGATGCACTATGGGGAAGAAGTTGTTTTAAAGGGTAGTGGGAGGGCAAGCTGTTTCAGCAATCTTTGAACACTGAGTTAGGAGGCTAGGCTATTACCAACAGTTTCCTGCATAAAACACTCCTGTAACAAGAAAAAAAAGTGTTGCGCTTTTCCCTTCCCTCAGTTAGTACTTGGCAGCAAAGGAGCCATGCACCAAATCGGATTTCTGAAAGAACCTGTGATACAGTTATGCACAAGCCTGGATAAGTTTTGTGGCCATGTACTCTGTTACATAGCTGGAGGCAACATAAAAAATCTGAACACGGTAAGTATATGCAAGAACACCTACTCAAAACTAAGGTGATTTTGGAAGTTACAGTTGTGCACTCTATCCTTATCTAGTAACTGCCACGCATGTAAACGTACATAAACCACAACGTAGTTCTCAGCAGCTGAGGGAATGCCAGGACATTGTGTGGTGTGAACAGTGCCAAACAGGGCTAGAGCTAATGATGGCTGGGACCAACAACTAGACACATTCCAATCCCAGAAAGAAAGGACTGAATTCAGCCTGGAGCTATATTGCACATGTCAATAGATGTGCCCTCTTTTGGAGCTAAGCTGACCAGATTTAGGTCATACACAGATGCTTTTTAAAAAGAGCCAATGGATGATGGAGTCAGACTTCTTTTTGGTTAACACAGTTCCCAGATTCCTTCCTTAGCATGCAGACACCAGGTCCTCTGAACACTGGAATAATTAAAAGACAGGAAAAAACTCCTTTTCTCTTCCCACTTTTCAGACTACTTGCACCAGAACTTGGTCCCAAAGAACTATTGTAAGGGTCATTTTCCCGTTTTTGTTGTCCTTAGAACTGGGCTCAATCCACAACATGTAGAGCTACAGAAAGTCCTTGCACTGTGCCTGAGGAGTGCAACAAACCTACAGTGGGATTCACAAGGACTAGTGCATCAGTCAGAGGGGACAGCAGAGTTGTCCCTATGCTTGCTAACATATGGACACTGTAGTGTGTCTTAAATCCCCTTTACAGTGGCCAAAGTATGCAGAAGCTGGCCTGTGTAATGTTTATTACTGCAATATCTGTAAAGCCTGGGGTCCATTTTTCTCCATCTATAACTGCTTGTAAAAGCACCTACGGGAAAGCAGTGAGAATCAAGGGTTCAGTACAAAAGCAATTAGAGGCATTGCAGCCCTTTTGAATTGCAGAGCTAAACCATTAAGGATCTTTCCTGACTTGGGTTAAGTCACTAATGTGTTTCTCAGGGCAAGATAACAAAACTGAGGAGCAATCCGGGGAGATGGAATTGGAACATCTCCTTAACAGAACTGTAAAAATGCAAACAGAAGAAAAAGCAATCTGTTTTGTAAGCTGGCTTTTTTAGCACTGCAAGTAAAGTGGAGAGAAAAACAAATCTTCAAAAGACTTATACATGCATGGGGGTTTGGTGTGAGGTGGGGAATCTACTTTGAAAGGACTGGAGGGTTTTTCCCTGCTGTTGCTGAACCACAGGATTCCACAGTAGTACTATCTTCATGGAACAGACTCACTTTCATGGAGAAAGCGTGCAGATGCATTCTATTAGCCAGCTATTCTGAAGTCAGCTTCTCAGTTTTCTCTGATATTTGAAGAATATCTTATTAAAATGGGGGTTTAACAGAGCAGCAGTATGTTACTCAGGTCCTTCACAGCTTTATTCTGTCACAACACGGGTTCCATGCCTTTATAACACTTCTGCTTTCTCTCCAGAGTCGAACAGATGCATACGTAGGACATTCCCCTGCTGGAACATCAGTACAGAACATTATTCATTGGCATCAGGTATAACTGCGCACTGACATATAAACAGACTCTTACTGTTGCTTTTTATGCAACCAACAGCCTCCAGGGAAGTCCAGAGGCGAAGGATCTGGGAAACTGCCCATCACATCTTCTCACATGCTGCTGTGAGCACCTGCCACAGAGGGAGCACTGTTTCCCATGGCTCACCAGACCACTACCTGAGTTGCCCCTTTGGTATCGGGCACTGAGATTTGCCCAGGGCACACCAGGCCTCTCCGCATGTTGGGCTCTAATGGCTTCCAGCCTTCATCTTTATTTATGCCTTGAAAGCTGCAGAAGAGAACGCAAGCATGGTCTAGGCACTTGGCAGGCAGTAGGAGGATAGTGGAAACTTGAGCAGCCAGGGGATGATCCACACAAAGAAGTGATCCAGGTTAAGGCTTTTCTCCCAGAGAATTAATTGCAGCCTGGATCACCTCCCAAAGCCAGTTAATCACACAAACACTTCTGCTGGCACAACGGCAAGGTCGGGAACTGCCTTATACTACTACAGTACATGACAAGCAACATTGCTCTACAGGGATGTTCCCAACAGCCAGGTTTTTCCAAAACCCTTTTAATCACTTTTGCCACTGTTCAGATCCTGGATTCCAGTTCTCTAAAGGTGGGTTTCTACTTACATACTGGCAGATCTGAGCTTGTTCTGCTCATGGTCTGAATCAGACCAGGACAAGACAGCTCCAGCCAAGAGACATCACTGCATGTGTCCAGGTGCACCTGCTGAGCCAGGATACATCTGCATACATCCTGTAGGCAGAACCCCCATTTCTGTAAACACTTAATATGATCTAGAATATAGGTGTGCTCCTGAGGACACCCCTGACAAAAATTCCCAGCAGTCAGTCCCGCAGGATACACCTACCCAGAGCCAGGAAATGGGGACAAACCATTGACAGCCAGTGGCTTTACAGCCTGTTTTGCCAGCCTCTAACAAAGCCAAGTGGCTACAAAGCAAACACAGATACAGCAGGATAGAGGAAAATAGCAAAGGCAATACAGCAAGCAGATTTCTAGCACATTCCCAGCTACTTGAAGCCTTGGTTTTCTAAACTGACAGACACTGACTTTCTCTCAACCTGTATTACATACAGCCACTCACAAATGAAATTACTTGACAGGTTTGTGCAAAAAATAAAAATAAAATGAAAAAAACCCCAACAAAAAAAACCCAGACAAATGTGTACTTAACTCTTCACTCATCAGTCCTGCAGGGCATATATCATTACTTTTAGACAACACAGACTCAGGAAGCCTAATGTCTTGTGTCTAATGTCCCACCTCAAAACTGCTGTCAGAGCACAACTCATGTATAGCCAAACTCTTGTAAGAAGTAGAGAACCTCTGGATATGTCGCCACTTCTGTGAGCAGACCAAGCAAAACTGACACACAAAAGACAAGATGTTCAAGGAGAGATCTTATATTACACTAGACTAGTAATAGCCCTGACACGTTCTAGACATTCAGGTCCTCTTTCCATGTGGCAACGGAACCCAAGTCTGCATCACGAACAGGGTCCCCAGCTTTAGTTAACTACAGTAGTCAAGCAAAATTTTAATAACAAAATGTACCAAGGGTGGCGTCTGAGGATCCGGAGAGGAAGTTAGCAAGAGGAAAGGCAATGAAGCCACTCGCCCTACAATCCACCCTTAGTACCCCTGGAAGCCTGCAACCAGAGGAAGGGGTGGGAGTAACTCACAGTCCGCTGCCTGAGCCTTGACTTCAATCACAGGCAGGAAAATGCCTCCTGCAATCTGCAGGATTGGTCTCTCAACACTTACATTTCATCCGTTCTTTTAACAGCTAACACGTGCAGACCAATTTCAAGCTTATGACTATGGCTCTAAGGAAAACATGAAGAAATACAACCAGGTAAGGCAATACGGTTTCCCTGAGAACTCATCCTCGGGTCCTGGCAAAACTAAGAACAGAAAAGTTCAGATTTCAGCATCTTGAGTGCTACAGAAAGAGGGAGAGAGTGGTCTGAGATAATGTTTCACCTGAATCTAATACTCACACGTGTAAAAGTCTATTGACAGACAAGGCGTAGACCGTTCCTCGCAGACAGGGAACAGAAGTTCCTTTTGCCTCCCCTACTGATGCAGGGATGTGTCCAACGACATGTCAATTTACCTGCCATTCCCAAAAGGCTAAGAGCCACACCCAAGTCCTAGGGCTGGGTGAGTATGGAGCTCTTCACTTCCCCAAAAATCCTCAAGGTCTGCCTTTCAGTTAAGGGAGGAAATGAATCTCACAGCTACGGTGACCTCTCCAATTGGCTGACAATCATTTCACTTTTAATAGGCACATTTGACTTGCAGTGTCCTGTGCTGTACCAGGGTAGGCTGCTTTTCACAGACAGAAAGGCTCCAGAGATATAGTCAGTCACTTCTACCCATGCACACTGTCTCAGAAATTTTCTAGAGTGAAATTATAAATGGCCAAATTATTTCCTTGCCACTTAAGTCCCAAGCATAACAACTAAGACCAACAATTGCACTCCATGCCCCAACAAAACTTAAAGATCTTCCCACTCTAAATATACACATGAATAAGCTCCACAGTTCTTGCCTGGTAAACACAGACACTGCTGCTTCCATATCCCCACCTCTGAAGGGCACAAGCAGGTGTCAAACTGCAGGACAACTCCTAGCCATGCATGAAGGAAAGACACAGGAATAGGGTGGATCATTCCTTTTCACGGTAGACAGGGAACGGGGTTGGGGAAACAAGCACTAAGAGGGTGGCCTTCCTCCTTACTGCTTTACTGTAGTGAGTGCAGAAGGGGGGGAGAGGTGCTCGCACAGAATCCTTTCTCCAGACACAACTTCTGATAAAAGAGCATTCACTCAGGTCTCCCTTTCTTACAGTCTACTCCTCCTGCGTACAAGATAGAGAAGATAAGCACACCAATTGCCGTTTGGAGTGGTGGACGTGACAAATTTGCAGATCCGAAAGACATGGCAAAGCTACTTCCTCGGATTACTAATCTCATTTACCATGAGCATTTTCCTGCTTGGGGACATCTTGATTTCATCTGGGGCCTTGATGCAACTGAGAAAATGTATCGGAAAATCATTGAACTAATAACAAAATACTGTTGAAATGACAGGCAGAGTGGTGATTCACTCAGTAAAAACCTCCAAAATTTCTATTTGGCAATAAGGGTGATACCTGGGGAAGAGGTAAACACACAAACACACATAATGGATATGAGTATAGGTATTTATCTGCACTTGTTTGTTTCTTGCTTTCCTCATAGTTTGAGGTTTTCCATGGTGTTACTGTGACTGCTGTCTTCCTGAGAAGTTTGAGGTGTATAGGAATGAAAGCTGAAAACATGACTATATTTGAGCACACACTGCAGGGATCACTTAATTTGGACAGCTTTTATTTCTACAAGACTGATTTTCCTAAGCCTAAACTCTGTTGTTCTCATGTATATCTTACTTACCCCACAGAGGCATGCCCATGCCCAATTTGTGTCTTCCCATGAAGACCCAAAAGTGGGATTTGCTCATTTCTCTGTTGAAGTACAACTGACCTCTGTTTAAATTAAATCATTTATCCATTTGACAGAGAACTTGGCTTTTTTTTTCTTTTTCCCTCCTCACATTTACCTACAGTGTCAACACAACCAAGAGATCTTCAGACACAAGAAACCGAGCAGGCAATAGATGACTTCCAAACATCAAGGCATCCAACCTCAGAAAAACTCATAGGAGTATTCTCCTGCCCTCCATGCCCACACATCACCCAAAGGTTTGTTCACGCACTCTAAACCCCCCAAACTTCAAAGACCATGGGTGGCAGCTGAGGAATGAGGAGATGTAGACCCGTCAGGCAAGCTGCACTCCAATACAGCTTCCGCCCCATGAATTATTCTTGACACTGGCAGTGAAGTTGTTGCAAGCACTCTGAGCTATCGGCTTTGACTTTTACATAACTCTGTCTCTTGATCATTCTTTTTTCAAGCAATTTCTACAGCGTGGGAAAGCAGTCAGCTGTTTTCCCTTTCTGGCCATTAGCCCAAAGAGGTAGCATCTTCATTATCCATGCAAATGGCTCACATCTACTCACCTACAAGTTGATCTGGTAGGTAAGAGCGTCTGTCCCAAAGCGTTCATTATTACAGGCTCAGACAGGGTAGCTTTGTTTCCTGGGGTGTTTCTGGGTGGGACCCCAAGCTCATATTGCCCAACGAAGACCCTTTGTAGTTGGAGTCAGCATCCAATAGAATAGTTACACTGAAAAATATATCTGTGTTCTGCAACACAGGAAAAATACACTAGCTTGTCCATGCAGCTAGTCTAGCAGCCATTAGCAGAGCTGATCATGCAATCTATCTTCTGAACTTATGACGGCTTACAGGAAATGGCCAAAACTACCAACAAAAATAAAGATCCATTAGACCAAGAAAGCAAGATACAGTAGCGTTTGAAAGGAGATTCCCCTTTATTGCTGCATTATTAAATTACAAAGCGCCAGGCCACATTAATACCACTGCAGGTTTTCTTCTGCCTTTATCTATGCAAGAGAAGGTTCTTTTTTTTAAATTATTTATTATTATTTTTATTATTTTGGTATACGCATCCCCTGCTGCATGCACCACTCTGAAAAGTGTGCTATCCTGTCCAGTCCCCTGGAAATGATACATCTGGTTCCCATCAACAACATTTCTTTTTTTTTTTTTTAAGCATACTGTTAATATTGGAAAGGTAGTCAAGAGACTTCTTTCTCTTCTGCTCCAAACATATTTTCATTATTATTTCTTAATGCATTAAAGAGACCTGGGAATTGGCTTTCTTTGTGGTCTCCAACAACGCATTGAATCTCTTTTTGCTGTTTCTTATATGAAAAAAAAAAAAAGATAAGATAATCCTTCCCTTGTAGCAACACAGTGAGAATAAAGGTGTGTGAAACTTGTAGCAGGGATGGAAGGAGGAAGTGCTAAGCTGAGAGATCTATTTTCCCACTCACTCACATTGTAGGAAGAGAAATACAAAGAGGAAGGGTGCCAGACTTTGTATAAGCTGCTGTGGCATATTGTTCAGTTGTCAACTGTATCCCCTACAGAACAAGTAACCCACATTCTAAAGGATATTTTATTTTTGCATTGGCTGCCAACCATCATGTGCAACGTTTAAGCTTCCAGAAACGCTATAGTTAGCTTTCAAAATCCACAGTCTGCACAAGTCAAGTAATAAAACTGGGGAAGCAGATGGGAAGGGCAATATTTTGAACGCTATTGTAATCATTCACTGCTTAGTAAAATCAAATGAACTCCTTTTAGCCCATGTGGCCTTGGGGGTACTAACAAGTGTCACACAAAATAGTCAAAGTCTGCAGCAAGGAATGGGTGGATTTGGACCAAGCCTTTAACAAGTAACAGCCCTCAACCCTCTGCAGGACTCCTGCTGCTGTGCAAGATGGATTGCCAGATGAGGTAATTTTCTGCATGTTCAAGAGTCCTTGTTGACTAGGAAGTTTTCCTTAGCATGCTTTCAATGTTGTAGAACTGCAATCTTCTTGCTATATCCAAAGGAGTCTCCCCATTCTGAAAGAAACAGATGACAGATATAGGTCAAATACAAAGAGCTTTCCCCAGTTTGCCACCCAGATGCAGTGCTCTCCTGCATAAGTTTCACTGTCACATCCTTGCTCTAAAACAAAGGTTTCAGAATGTGCTGGGTCTAATACTACTCTCACTGAAGCCAGGGGCAGAGTCCTCCCCTCCCCTCCAGTAGCAACAGCCATTCCACTGTTTCCTGGGGCTAACGTCCAAAGTCAGTGCAGAGCTAAGTTAAGAACTGATTTCAAGAGCAAGATGGGCAATACATTGCTCACCTCAACTCAGTAACGCAGATACTCCCAGGTCAATACTTATTTGGACAAAATTTGAGCTTTTCTGATGACAGAAGCAGCTTGATTTAGCCCCTCTCAAAAGAATGGTGTCCGGTGGCACAAAAAGTACCTAGGAAGGCTCCTACCACTCCCCTGCAGCCTGCATCTTAGGAACAACTGTAGACCAGCTCTGAGTTAAGAAGAGGTACCGTAAAGATGGTTAAGAGATCTGCCAATCCAGTGGACATGCAGGCAGTGTTGACTGGTAGAAATCCAGCAGTGAAGGATTTGGACTTCAAAGTTGCTCTTGCTAACAAAGGCAATGGAGCAAATGTTGCTTTATACCATAGAGCAAACAAGTCTGCTGCCAGGAAGCTGTGCATGCTTTTTTTAAACTGCTGCACACCAGCTAAGGCCTACAACATACTGGTTCACCATCATGATAAGGAAATACAGGTGTCAATCTAACCTTCTTACCTGATTCTTTACAGAAGTGTCTGCATGAGCTTCAAGCAGTAGAGGAATGACTGCCTGGTTTTTCATTTCACAAGCGTAGTGAAGGGCTGTGCTACCAGACTGAAAGGAAACAGAGGCAGATGAATTTTAGTTCTATTACTTCTTTAGTAGACCTTAGGCAAATACCACTACCTGTAGCCTTATCAGTTTCCCCCTAACAGCTGGATGCAAAAGACATATAATTTCCTGTCACAATACACTACACAGTAAAATAAATACATTCTCATAAGAGCAGCAGGAACAAAAAAAAATCATTCCTCCCCCAGGATGCAGCTGCTAAAACAGGTCTGTTACCTTTATCAGGAAGCCAATAATTCTTTACTAATTTCAGAAGATTCCATGATCTTGATCTCAACAACTATGTCTTAAGCAATACTGTTTGCTCACACTTCAGTGTTTTAGAATTTGGTGCTGCTAAAATTGGGGTTTCTCCTTTTCTACCTTAGAGGAGAGGAGCTCTTTACCACACCCAGGTAGGCCAGTGGCTACAGAACTCTACACGTGGCACATCAGCGGACTCTGAAGATCAAGAGAAGACATAGGCTCTAGCACTGCGGCACGACCTTTGCCTACAAATCTGCTCCAGTCCAAGAACTCATAAATGGTGATGAACTCAGACCCTTATATCACTAGAATCTTTATAGGATCAGGTATTTAATACATAAGTATCTCAACCCAGCTTGCCTGGATTCTCTTAAGAGAATGGTCAGAAAGGGAGAATTAGTTGATCAGTGGAGAATTATTTCTGTGTACATTACGAAACTATTGCCTAAGTGTCAAGGGGAAACACCGAATCCTCCTGCTACATCATGGTCAGTTCAGTCCCCGATCCTACTCTGAAAGCAGGACTATATTGCTAGAAGATTCTGAAGTCTGTTTTTAGTAATGTTGCATGCATACAAACCACATTTGCATTTATATAAACCCTCTTACAAAGTCTGTAGCGTTAACATCCACTCCAGCTCTAAGCAACATCTTGATCAGGTTTTCATTCTGTTTAGTCTTTGAGACCTGTTTGGTGCAAGGGAAAAAGTAACACAGTAAGACAGTTCATCTGCATATAGTACTCAGTAGATTTTGGCTAAATACTGGGGTTTTTTTTTTTCCAAAAAGAAGAGTGTCTGGCTTCTGCAAATGTCAGACTGATGCAGTGCTACAATTCTGTTCCTTCACTAGCTATATTCACAGCAAAACCCCTGCTTCTTCTGTTGCTCTCCATCAGTCTTTGCTTTAAAAACAGCAGTCCATATTCTATACAAGTTCCTGGCCTGAAATACTGCCATGAGAAAGGTGATAAGGGAAAAGGGAAAGGTACAGGGGCTTTCCTGTTTTCATCCAGACTTACCATGAGAAGGTATCCAATAAGCATAACTGGCATGAGGATTATGATAAGCACGTAGTCAAGGAAGGTAAACCGTTTTCTCACAGCATAATGCAGACATGTGCGGTCTTTCTAAGCACAAAATAACTTGATTAGTACCGGATTCAGTGATCTGATTATATTTGTTTAATATTGACAATAGTAGACCACTGTATATTTCACAAGCTTTCTTTTAGGTTATCTACTAGAAATTTTTCTCTGATTTTCAAGCAGAAACAGACAGATGCATTTTGCTTCCTTCAAGTAGAAGCACATTTAACACATCCAGGCTCATGGAAATTGGGCTACATGTGCAAGAAGGATGTGGGATCCAAAGCATTCCACGTGTATGTCTG